AGTCATGAGAAAGAAAGATAACATAGATGAAACAAATCATATAATGTAAGTTAGATAGCCAATAAAATTGATTTTCTATTTTGTTTTTTTTTGCTTTAACTGATGGTTCTAAGATCCTAACCGTACAAAATAGTATGAAGATAAGAATACAAATTGTTAAATAGATAAAGAAATCAGATGATAAACAAAAACATAGAAAAGAAGAAAGTGTGCTATAACGATAGATGAAAACCGAACATAATAGGAAATGTCAAAAGGAATCAGGAAATTCCGCAATAGTAAAAGTATCACATATATCGTAATCTATAAGAGAATGAGAAAATCAATTATAACAACACCATGGTAAATATTTCTCCAAAACAGATATATGTTTTTCGTATCTTTTAGACTGATACAGGCCTATCATTAGAAATTCTTTTAACAGTCAAGTTTGTCTGTATTGATTTGAATTTGCCTGCTCGAATAACAACTTGCCGTCGAGTAAATCTGACAATACAATCAGATAGACTCAATTGAAATAGAATAGTATGTTAAGGTGAATCATGTGATTGTGTGCGTCATGTATATGATGCATGTCAAGAAAATATTGGATTAAAAATATATCTCTTTATCATCTGTCCTAGTTGAGCTTTATATATACGTATTTTGAAGATGTCTATATAGGACTATAGTTGTATTCGACTGTATTTTTTGTTGACATATGAACCTTAGATGAATTATTAACCCGTTAAGTCTTTACCCCATAAAGTTTCCGTAGTTCTTAAAGAAATGTACGCATCTTTCGAAAGCATGTTATAATAATGCTTGCTTATTTTGGTTCCGAGCCAGGCATTAAATTGAAGCAATAGCAAATCATTGGCTCTTCATTAATAGTATAACTAATAAAAAAGATCATATATTTCTGATGCTGACTAGATGCTGCATGAGAAAAAGGAAAACGGAGTATTCGACCAGACTGGGTACCTCCTCTATGTATAAGATGTTAGGAACTTTTTAAATATAGAATAAATAAAATACACTTAAGCTCGTCGAAACGAGCTAACAAACTTTTTGACTAAAATCGATCACATCTCACCTATAAGCGAAGTGATCTTGTACAGGTGCAATTTTTCTCGGGATGAAATAAACTAGATACGAGAAACACGGATCCTGTTCGAATAGTCCAAGTTGTTTCTTCTAGCATCATTCATTGTTGAAGATCAAAAATTTCAACGATTCCAAGTGTACTCGAACAATATCAAATGTGTTTGCTCTCGCTCATAATCTACGCTCTCACTAATTTTTTTATTACAGCATTCAACCACATTCAACACTAAATATTCACATATCTTCATTTCTAAATATGTTCTCATAAGTTTTACATCTGGTTTTTACTCAATTTCGATAAACGAAAAACAATATACTTCACGATTTGAGTATTATTTTGTCTCCCATTGCTTCAATTCGTTATATTCTTTGAACTAACATATAATATACACTCAATTACGGTGCTGTTTCTGTCCACGAATATCCATCATGCGTTATGGCTGCTCTCTTCCATTTCTCTATACACATTTTGGTGGTTTCTGTTGCTGGTCTTTTCTTTGATCGCCGCATCTCGATCAATTTCGAAACAAACTATGGTAATAATCATAACGAAATTAAAGAGATCCTGTCTCAGCACAAAACGTTTGATACTAAGAATTGGACACAAAATCGATATTGAAATTAGCCTGTCGTTTACAGCAGCACTATCCTATCCCAGTTGTGCCCAAATCAATTTTGTTCACCTACCAATCACTTTATGGTTATATTCCTAATTATTCAATTGTTGCATTTTCATTTGATTATAATTTACCATTTACTTTTTTTTCTGTACTTCTTTCTCCGCAAATTATCTACTCATTTTCATGCTCATAAGTAACTTTTGTACATCCATGCTTCTTCAAATAACATTATTCATCTTTCTTATAATCTTCCTATTTTTCTTTTTCTTTTTAGTTATACTTGCTTTTTCTCTATTGGAGAAAATTTCATGTCAAGAGAGATCTCCTGACATAAACATGCCTTCACTGTTCTGTTATAATATTATTCCATTGAATTATAGATATTCTTTTCTTGTCAATTATTTTCTTCACGATTGCTAAGTGAAGGCATAGGATGGAGAAAGAGTGAGAGAAACAAAAACACATTCTTTGTTGCTCCTTTTGTCTTTTTTGGTGTATCTTCATTTAATTTGTTTTTTTTTTGAAGAAAGAATTACGAAGAAAAAAGAGAAACAAGCTAGTAGATTTGATATCAGTTCATGCTTATCTATTAAACTATCAATATCGTGTTTCTCTTTCAATATTCAAAGAATATTATGAACAGTTCGATCTGTAGAGTCGTTTGGCATTGAGCTTCTTTTGTTGTCAAATATATCTATGTATTGTCGTATTACCAACGGTTAATAGTTATTAGGAGTGCAAACACAGAACCATGTACTCTTAACTTTCTTTTTTCGCTTTCTCTATTATTTATCCTTTGCTAAATAATCCATGTCAAAATTGGCTTCGAAACTTCCCGTCTATCTCTGCATTCATCTTTCTAGGTCAAACTATGAAGTAGAAGTAGAGCAAGCGGTGCATATCCATTAGGTCGAAATACCTTCTGGAAAAGAAAGAACATCTTATGGAATGGTAAATAAAGACATGATAACAACTTATAATAGGATTCGTTCTTTTCGCTACATTCATCAGTATCAGTCTAGTATTAAAGATAAATGTTTTTTTTACCCATTCATTACCATTTCAACAATGTCAATGTGTGCTTTGCTCGCTATTCAAACATGTGTAGTAGAAATTGAAGATAACAAAGCTTAGGGTCAAACCGAATAATGAAAATGAATATCATTTAATACCTCCCATTATTACATGATGCTTTGTTTTGTTTTCTTTAACTAGATTCTAAGTGTATTATCTGCTGATCACCGATCAAAAATCTACAAGCATATTATATTTACAGGCAATATCTTCTGTCTTTCTTTAATTATTTTCTAATGATAGCAATTTTATGCTTTTCAAACCTTGAATGACAATATTAATTTTTTTTTGAATATTAATGCCTATTCAGTTGCAATATCGTACTTACACTTTGCTGATATGTCGCCGATTTTATCTTATTGAAACTTAATGCTGAATTGTGTAATACATTGTTCAGAAAAAATCAATGATTCAAAGATTCTAGGCTATAGACAGTTCATACCAGGTGTCCCAAAATGTTTGCACACTTTTTATTTTTCATATATCTCAGCATAGATACGTGAGAAAAACTTTGTTTTTTTTACCAAAAGATGCGCCGTAAAAAGCTCTACAAAAATGGTAATACAAAATCTCTCTTAGCATGTTCTGATGATTTTTTCTATACCCAAAATGAAACGCCTATATTTTATGCTACTTCCCACCATATTAATGGATGAGACTGAATAAATGGTCGCGGTTAGCATTTCCATTTTCAATCACTTAATAGGTTTATTAAAAAAACAAGATATACCACAAGATACAGAGTGAAAAGCTCTATAATTTACATAAGATCGCTGAATTTATAGTTGCTCTTTTTTTCTCATAATGCTCAAAGATTTTAGCGATTAGATTTTGATTCTGGAAAGAAGATAATTTGCTGGTGCATGGCAAATTCCTTTTCTTATTTCTTTGCTTAATGAGTCATATCGAAGATCATAATCGATGGCCGAATATAGACTCATTGATACGTGATCCAATTATAATTCTTTATTCATTGTGATGTTGTTTGTTAGAGGCACACACCATCTACAACATCACATAATACAACTGTACCAGTGTTGTTAGTTAAGAAAAATAAGTGAAATTCGAAGATCTTAGACAATTGGTCGCTTAAATTGTGTCGATTATGAGGAAAAAAGAGCAACTATAAATTGAGCGATCTTATCTGAGTTGTAGAGCTTTTCACGCTGTATCTTGTGGTATATCTTGTTTTTTTAATACAACCTATTAAGTGATTGAAAATGGAAATGCTAACTGCGACCATTTATTCAGTCTCATCCATTAATATGGTGGGAAGTAGCATAAAATATAGGCGTTTCATTTTGGGTATACAAAAAAATCATCAGAACGTGTTAAGAGGGATTTTGTATTACCATTTTTGTAGAGCTTTTTACGGTGCATCTTTTGGTAAAAAAATCAAGGCTTTTCTCACGTATCTATGCTGAGACATATGCAAAATAAAAAGTGTGCAAACATTTTGGGACACCCGGTATATTAATGAAATCTTTCAGAAACTTATCTAATGAGAAATAACTAGAATGGACAAAATATCCAATGTATAATGATAAAAAACATAGCAATTCAAAACCAATCAAGATCATAAAATGAGAATTATGACTAATAATTCTGAAGAGTTAAATTCAAAGTTACATCGATAATAAATCAGTGTAAGGTAGGTGTTAGCGGCGATTCATTCTCATTTCTTTCTCTTGATATCCTACTATATCTTTCTTCTCTTCTTCCTTTCTTTTCTCTCTCTCCTCTTTCTCTATTGTATGTGGTTATATATATATGTACGTGTTGTTAAGGACATTTAATTATTCAGTCAGATATATTTTGAAATAATAAACATCAGCTCGTCGAAGGAGCTAACAATTTGGTGCCGTGACCCATCTTCTTCTATTTATTATATCGAAGAAGAACGAACTTATTAATTAATTTACTCATCCGTGACGGAGAGAGTGAAATACCATCTCATTCTTTCGGGGAAAGAGAAAAATTATATATTTATGTACAAATTAATTTAAAAATTTCATCATCATCAGAAGGTATCTTTCTTCTATATAAAGTTCATTTTTTTGTTCTTCCTTTAAGTGCATATATATATATTTAACAACGGCTACCCGTACAAGAGGAGTGATTAAAAAAAGTGGAGCAAATCTTTTATCATATGAAGTAATTACTAATTCACCAACATGAATAAGAAATAAAAAACAAAACGATATGTCATTTATGCAAGAAATGGAAACAGCCTCGATGGAAACTCGACAACTTCATTCAAGCCAAAAAGAAGCAATGAACAAAATAGCTGAATTTTCAGGAGAAGTTAATGACATCGATATTGATGAATGGCTATTCGGCTTGAACTATTTATTTTTATTAATGAAATTAAAAGATGAAACGAAAGTTCTTGAAACAATGAGTAAATTAACAGGATCAGCATTACGATGGTATCAAGAAAATTTAAGATCATTCGTTAATTGGAACGATGCTGAAACAGCATTGCGAGATCGATTCAAAGAATTTATATCTGACAGTCAATTAATGCAAGAATTTGTTTATATTCTTCAAGAAGAAAACCAATCTGTTATATCATTTTACGAAAATGTTATGCGAAAATATAGAAAATCTCGACAATTTATTACTGAACAACAAGTTATCACAGTATTACAAAATGGTGTTAAAAATTCATTAAAAGAACATTTAATTCGAAATGAAAAAGATATTAAGAAACCAGAAGAATGGGTGTGGGTGTGGGTGTGGGTGTGGGTGTGGGTGTGGGTGTGGATGTGGATGTGGGTGTGGGTGGTGTGGGTGTGGGTGCCGGTGTCGGTGTGGGTGGGTGCAGCGTAAGCAAAGAACATACACACCCCACACCCCAACAACAGCCACATCCACACCCGCATCGACGCGCACACTCACACCCACACCCCACACCCACACCCTTTTTTCCAGAAGATGCTCCGTGAAAAGCTCTACAAAAACTGCATGATTGAATTCTTTTTTACCTGTTCTAGTGATTATTCTGATACTCAAAATGAACAAATTACATGCCAGTGTCACTTACCATCATACTGGAACTGTTGGAAGACTTTTTTGATCGTCATATATCTCGACTTGAGAAAATGATGGAATATGGAATTTTTTTTCAAAAAGGTGTGCCGTCGAAAGCTCTACAAAACTTGTATAGACCAACTCCTGTAGTGAATCAGAGAAGTCCTCGAAACGTTTTCTACATGATGGGAAGTGATACTGCTATGTAAGTTGTTTCATTGTGAGTATCAGAAAAATTACTAGAGCAGATAAAAAAGAAATCAATCATGCAGCTTTTGTAGAGCTTTTCACGGAGCATCTTTTGGAAAAAAATTCAACGTTTTATCATTTACCTAAGCCGAGATATATGCGAAATAAAAATATTACACCAGTACGGATACGCGAAATTTGGAAAAAGAAAAAATGTCACTTTTTTTCTGATACACTTCTTATACTTTAAACTGCATTTGATGGTCAATGTAAATATACCAAAAGATGCAGCGCAATCCGGACTTTCTTCCTATATATAGTAGGTTAATAGATAAAAAACCTACATTAATAAAAAAACAAAAAAATCGAAGGGTATACTTTCAATGTGCGTGGACCGTATAGTTATCACCCTCAAGGTTTTTCTTCTAATTGCGTTGTGAAGTAGCATTGACAAGTTGTCATATTGAAACGACATCGAATGTGAATAAGAAAGACATAGATAATCACAAATTGACAGTAGTGATACTTGTTGTGCTGGATCTAAATATCACTAGAATCGGTTCAAACGATGACATTGTATTGAATTTATTTTCTAGTATAAAGTTACCAATGTCGTGCCTTATCTTTCTTCCTTTCTGTGTAAATGAGAAAAAGAAAAATTACGACGCGTGTTCTTCGAAAAGAGTATGTAATGTTGGTCGATATAAAGGTAAAAAGAAAAATAAACAACTTCATATAAAGTTGGAAAAGCCAAATAACACATGTTCATGATTTCCAACTAACACATTAATGTACCATAGAACATATTATTTAGCAACATCTGAAGATTAAAATCAAAACAAAACTGTCGGCGTTATCAATCTGCAATCTTTATTCTTTTTTCATCTGCATATCATTAATAGATAGGAAGTCGTGGCACATATCAATAAATCTACGAGCAATGCATCAATTCGATTTTAACGGTGAGTCATTCAACATGTGTGTTGTGTTTCTTTTTTTCTTTTCTTCCTTCTTAAGGTGGAAAGAAAATAGTGTGGTAACGCCAAGTCAGACATTCAATAACATTCTGTGTCATGTCTACCGAAGAGAAACCATCTCTATCAACATTACCAACCGAACTTATTTTTTATATTTTTTGTTATCTTGATGCACCGACTATTATTCGTTCATTTCGTAAGGTTTGTAAACGATTCTATAAAATTGTTCCTACTTATGATCGATTTAAATTTGATTTCAAATCAATTTTAAAATCAGATTTTCATTTACTTTGTAATTTGATTCATCCTAAGAATGTTGAATCATTGACACTTTCTGATGATGATGAAACACCAGGACAAATCGTATATTTTCTCTCAATCTTTCGTATTAGCCAATTTACTCGACTTCGTTCGTTGACTCTATTCGAAATTGATGATTATCATTTAAGTATTATTTTGAAAGATATTAAAGCGTTGGAACTTAACTCACTATCAATTTATTCAAAAAAAGATTATTCACAAGGTAATACAAATGTTGCTGATCTATTGCCAGTTACTTCTTTGCCTCGTCTTTTCACATTCAATTTTAATATTCAAAGTTTTGACGCAACTAACATACTATGGCCTTTCCAATGTAAAATAGAACATCTGGAAATTTATTGTCATACACTCGATGAATGTTGTAATCTTTTTTGTCATTTATCTAATCTACGAACGTTAGTTGTAGAACAATTGAATGTAGACGACATCGAACAGACGATTTCTAAACTTGCCAATTTTGAACCGATTTATCGATTGTCCTCGCTAACCTTCAAATACTGTACGGTTGATGTGACCATACTTCAGTTGCTTCTATCACATATACCTTCGCTAGAACATCTTCGACTGATGCGATCAGTAAGTTTAAATGATTTTACATCGCATTTGTCTGAATGGGAAAAGTTCGTTGGAACAAAACTGCCTTTATTGAATAAATTCGAAATTTTTCTCGTTGATGATCAGCCTGATGTTCTTACTCAAGTCGATACAGAATCACTTGTAGCTTTATTTCGAACACCATTTTGGACTAAAACAAAAAACTGGCTTGTTATATGTGATTATATTACTGATAGAAGAAGTGTCTTTGTTTAGTTGGAATCGGTGTTCGATCGTGAATTTGAATATGTTTATAAGTCAAAAGAAATCCATCGTTCAACTTCAGCACCAATGATTCACAATACGATTACAATGCATGAAGTGCGTAAAATGCGTTTGGATATAACAGAAGTAATGCCTCTTGTTACATCACCACAGGTATAATTGAATCTTGAGAAGACTCCTATGATGTTTTCATTTTATATGTATTGAGTTTTACAATTTTAATACAGTCTCATCGTTATTCTCAAAATACCCACCAAGTAATATTGTCCACTAAAATTTATGTTTATTATGTTTAGGGTGGCTTACCAAATAATATCTTATTTCCTAAACTTGACGAACTGAAATTGCGTATCTCTGATAAATGGCCATTGGGTTCACTTCGATTTCTTACGCATCTAATCAATCTGCCGCATCTTGTCAAATTTTCTTTTGAAATAAATACTGCAATAAATACTCTTGAATTCATGACCAATTTTGGCACATTGTTGAAAATGGCGCCCAGTATTCGCTCACTTACAATATTGTTCTCTTCCGGTTTTGTATGGTCAAATAACTATAACATGGAAATTTGCTCGATAATTCCTGACTATGTAAGACATTTAACCTTTCCAATATATTCGGTGGATCAGATGCATATGGTTTTTCGCCAATTGAAATATCGACCAAGCATTAGATTTGAATTCGCAAATACGTATGATCACAGTGTTGATAATATACTTCTCACATGGTTTAAACGCGAAAATAGATATTATACTTATCGACTAGATAATTCTTCGTTATGTATGTGGTTTGATAAGTTTAATAAGACATCTTAAGAAAAGCAACTAATCAGTATTATGGATTGTTTATATTGAGATTTATATTTTTCATTTTTTCCATACTATATATTGAAAGTTATCACAAAATGAATAAATTTCTGTTTATTTTGTCTTTTCTCATATAGGTTGAAAGATATAACAGTTTTCACATTATTTCATTGTTTTTTTTACGAAAAGAGCCAGTCTATCTCTGCCATAGCATCTTGCAATCTATGCCATAAAGGGTGTAAAATAAGTTCTGATCCACTCTTGCAATATTGTTTTCTTAAATTTTTCTAGAATGGAAAAGACTGATATTCACAGTACATATACTTGAAGGATGGGTGGGTGTGGGTGTGGAATGTGGAGTGTGGGGTGTGGGTGTGGGTGGGTGCGGGATGCTATGGCAGAGATAGCCGGGCTCTTT